TAAATCTTAATTATAAAATACTGGTTCCGGAAAAGCCCGGAACATTTTACGTTTGTAAGTGTTAATCCGTTTCGTAATCGTAACGAGAATCTCCAAAGATATTGCGCGTGGACTTCGTGGAATCGATAATGAAAAGACAAGTAAATTTTTTTTTACAAGTCGAACAAAACTTCTGAGAGTTGCTTTCGTGTGTGAGACACTTCCTGTATCTGCTTTTTCGTTTCATTGATGACAAATCTGCCAATTCAGTGATTCATATATCTCCCGGAATTACCCACAAATATCTCATTTGACGTATGTTGAGATTCTGCTTTCTATACGACTGTGGTAATTTATCCGGCGCGACCTTATAGTCACTTGTTTGTTTAGTAATGGCTTCAGATCGTCCCCGCCTGCGACACTAGCGCCAAGCTGTGCGCACACACTGAGATTCCACGTGTCAGCTGTTTGGTGAGAGAGCAGTTGCAGGTCTGATAAATCGCTGTAAATTGTTAGTACAGTCACAGAGTTGAACTAAGTTATAGACGTGGTGTTTCCTGTACGGTTTCTACAGAATTAGTCAATTGATTTCTGCTAAAACCGGTGTAGTGTGCTGAGTCTATCGATTTCCTGTTCCTGCGCATGCGTACATGTAGGTATGAGACATCGAGTGATAGTTTTGTTGGAAAACGGATATAAATTATAAAAAGAATCTGCAGGTAAGAGTAGGAAGTGGTTTTTTTCTCTCACGACTGTGGTATGGTATGTCAATTCTTAACTCTGGTTCAAGACAGAAGATTGTTAAATAACCCGTGTGGGCTAATATCGTCTGTGTATGTGATATTTGTGGTGGGTGGAAAACATGGATTCTGGGTGAGGCTAAAGTTCGTTCGTGTTTAAAATGTGTTTTATAAATGCATGCTGAAATAGGCTATCGGTTTTACATGAAGAAATTTCCGTCGTGTTTCAGGGTTAGGTATGAACATACTTAGTTCCGTGTTATAACTGACACAGACCTTGAATACTGAACAGCAGCTGTGTGACACAAATTACGTATCCAAGGACGGGAAAGAAATATGGACACAGATTTTATTTAGAAAAGTGGTTACCGAAACTTGTGGGAGGCGTTTTGTGTCATGGCTGCCATTTTTTTTGTGGGGTTAGTCAAATGGATGCCACGGTGGTCTAGCGGTTAGAACGCTGGCCTTGTAATCCTGGGGTCTCGGGTTCGATTCCCGGCGGTGCCCGAATTTATAACTTGTGTTGGGCAAGGCCGTGGTCTAGGCAACACGGAGTTTTCCTCCGTGGCATCCCAACAATTACTCCATTCACACACAGAAGAAGGCAATGGCAAACCACTTCTGGATCATCTGCCAAGAACGTATATGAACAGGTCCCAGTCCGAGAAAAGGATGGAAGGATCCTGTTCATATGGACCTGTCGTCAGACAGAACACTAAATAAATAAACATAAAATAGTGAAATGGATGCCTGACAGGGATGTTAAGAGAGTTTCGTGATGAACATCGTATTGTGCAGTGAATGATGGAATTCTGAAGTTTTGAAGTTCGGGGCACACATATATTTGTTCACATCAGAATTTTGCTGTGTTGTGTTGACTTGGCTTGTTTGCCTTGAAGGT